GGGGTTGTAGCCAGAAGACCCACCAGACGTCCAATTTTGACCGTCAAGCACGTCTACAGTGGTGCAGACAGCGTCTACGCTGGACGGCCATGCAGTGGGGACAAGTTCTATTTAGTGAGTTTCGTTTTCACCTCAGCCACAGCGATGGACGGATTCGAGTGTACAGACGTCGAGGTGAACGTTACGTCAATCGTTGCGTCTAGAAGATCGGTTCGGGGGCGGCAGCGTTATGATATGGGGTGGGATTACAGCAAGACAGACGACCCGTTTGATAGTGGTAGAGGGAAATCTCAATGGACAGCGCTACCGCGACGAGATTATCGGCCCTGTTGTTCTACCGTTTTTGCGTCGCCATGGCCTAGGTAGTACCTTACAACATGACAACGCTCGGCCTCATATTGCTCGACTTGTTCAGGATTCTCTACAACAAAACAAAGCGAATGTCATCCCCTGGCCGGCTCGTTCCCCTGATCTCTCACCAATCGAGCACATGTGGGATGAGATGGATCGGCGCCTTCGACGTCAACCACGTGTTTCACAGACACTCCAGGAACTTCGAAACATGCTCCAGCAGATATGGACTGATATCCCACAGCACTTTGTGCCAAGCCTGGTCCATTCCATGAGACGAAGATGTGTTGCTTGCATCGCAACCAGTTGTGGACACAAACGCCATTAATTTGTAAATTGACATTTTGGCATGTTCATGTTTGGCATGTTCATGTCACCTATTCGACCCTTTTCGTTCAGTTCCGTAACGTCGTAGCCATGACTTGGTACATTTGCACATTGTTTCACAGTGTGGACGTAGCTCAGTCGGTTAGCTGTCGGGCTAAACAATCCGAAGGTAAAGAGTTCGCGTCCGACGGATTCTCACAAAAACTGGTTTCTTGTCTTTGAGACATGTGACCTACGGCAGAGACCGTCCTCACGAGAAGTTGTGGTACTGTATTCTAAATGTGCTCCCAATAACAAACATGTTCCTCAATGATGAGGACATGTGCTTCAGGAACGTAACAAGATGAGGGTTACTTCCCCTGAATCTAGTTAATGCGGTCACGTGACCCCCGAAAATAGGTGACAATCAGAGTTAATATTTATCATGTTTAAATATCAAAACAACTATTCTATTCCTGAACCCAAACTATAAGAATACTATACCCATAGATACCTTAAATGGGAATCACATACCTTTAACAGTCAAAAAGCCTGTGAAACACAATCTGTCGATGACGGAACCTCTAACGCTAACCACGAGGTTTCTGCACGGGTCGATAAGTCGAAAACACAACAAATATACGATGCTACCTCCGACAGAATACCTACCACCTATTTCCTTGCATTGTTATCTACAATATGTGATACAAGACGGCCTTATTTCGACCAATATTAATGTATACATACCTAAAACAGAGAGAGAGAGAGAGAGAGAGAGAGAGAGAGAGAGAGATGTCACCAATTATTTCAAACAGCATACGGCCCAAAGTAAGCGGGCAATTCTGATTGGTCAGTTGACCTTTCGGTGGAAGCGCACCCCACACTCCGGCTGAGTGGTGACTCAGCATAACTCCCCACTGTGATAGGTGTCCCAACCATGCTTGGAGTTGAACTCGCAACCGAATGACCGTTATGTTTACAAACAAGTGACGATTGTCGTGACGCCGAATACAGTTACCGCTGATAAATTGCTTTCTTTCTAAATTTGAATTTCTATTTCATTAAAACTATCATGTTATTGATATTTATGACGTTGCCAAGGGATCATACCAAAATATAGATCGACACTACTACACTCATTCTCGTTCGATCTAGATACCATTTTTACGAAACGAGTGGACTTTCTATTGTATCTGGCCGAGCGAAAGCGAGTTTACCCACGTAAAGTGGATCTATGTATTTAAGTGTAAGTAAACATAACAACTTTCGTTCGTGAACACACCAACACTGAACCCGGTTGCAAATCTGGTTGTGCATGAATATTGATATATGCCCAAATATGGGCATTGCTGACATTTCTATGCATACGTATTAACAACATGTTCTAGCCGCTGTGTGTGCAAACATGACAGCATCAACGCTCAAGATCTTATTTTAAGAATTGATTCAACTTATGGTAAGTCAAGCGCATTGTTGTTAGCCTAGTACGCATGACAGCTGTAAGAACACTGAAAAAGTCAATTAGCGCAGCGCTTTGAATCTCGGACCAAACTCGTTCCTTCGCACCGACGGGTTCCCGGCTGTGCAATCAAAAGGGTTCGGTTACCTTGATTTATCATCCAAAACTGGCTCCCACAGGAGATATCGCTGGGATGAGATCAAGCGATATCTACAGTGTAGATATCGCTGCAATGAAATTACATCACAATGCTTTGCAGACCATTGTGACGTCACTGGTTACCATGACGTCACAATCAAATGACATCACTAATGGCTGGCTCTGCTACTGAAGACACTCCTAATTACTGTCTACAAATTGGAAAAGTTGAAAGAATGATGTTTGATGATAAATAAAATCTCACCGGAGTGTCTTTTGATATCAAATATATCAAGACTCGTTGATAAAAGTGGCAAAAATCCTCGGCAAGCCTCAGACTTTTTCCACTTTTATCAACTCGTGTTAATATATTTGATATCAAAAGACACTCGGGTGAGATTCTCTATATATCAGCGGAATTTATATCCTGTCTTTACCATTTTGGAAGAGATAAATCAGAGTGCTCGCCAAAGACGTTTATGATTACTGTATGACCCTGCACTTCAACTCAAGTCTGCTTACATGTCAGTGACAGCTTCGAACGAAGGCCAAGGTCACCATCGGAATAAGAAAAGACAACCGTGATCTAGACTTCAACTCTGCATTTTACGCTAGAGATAAAAAAGCAATGTTATTTTAACATTTAGGATGCTTGGGCCACAAAAACAGAAGTCAGGCACACTTCTACAGAGTTTTCAAATGTGTTGTATCAGAACTGTTCACTTTGAGTGATCTGGCCTGGTCTTGCAGTCCTGTATGCTCATTCATGAACAAACACCTTCGGAAGCAATGTCATAAAAAGTACACTTCGAATGGGACACTGATGGCACAACCTAAGGATCCATAGTAGGTCTTAGATATCTGTCCAGATAGTTTATACCGACTTCATTTCACCACGATTCACCTTTTACCTTCACCTTCACCCTCTGGCGGCCACCTAAAAATAGCCTGAGTAGTACGCCTAACGCTGTGCCGAGTTTATTGGCGAGTGATGTTGTGAAAACTGCACACCTTCGTGAAGTTCGTCCAAAAACGACGTAACGTAACAATTTAAAGTCACGAAAGTGTTTGGTTCATCATTCTTATAGGGACCCTCGATCTATCGGTAGACGTACTTTGCATATGGATATAGATCTAGCTCGATTATATAAGGTCAGTAGTAGCTCTATCATAGTCTTTGCATAACTAATATAGAATGCAAAGGGAATTTGATGAGTGTGATGAGCTTGTTTGGTTTAATAAAGTGTGTGTACGAAATTAACACACAACTGCAGTATGCACAAAATCCGAACGAACCAGATTCCACATGGTGAATCGAATACTGACACCAATGACGTTAATCACAATTTTAGTGCAGAATATCCCTTTAATACAGGATCATACATGTATTTTAGCACATGCAGTGATTTAGTTTTCCCTGGATTGAACCAAATAAATATACCGTATTCGACGTAATAAGCGCCCAGTGTGCTCTCAAAATTAGAAAGAGGGGGCTCTTATTAGAATATAATTTTGGTAAAAGAGTTGAAAGATCGTAAATTTTGTGGTTTAGGCTGACAGCCTGAAATGATACAAAAGAAAAGTATTCGACACGCCAGATATATTTTCCCAGAATTTAATTTCCCGTAATTAAGGGTGCATATAACACACAAAGGGTGCAAATTGGGATTGTTCACTAGCCAATATATTAGCAAATATCGCCGTGGGCGCTTATTAGAGCGGGGTGCTTATTACGTCAAATACGGTATCTAAAACTGACATTTGCCAACGTTTACCAACGATTTCTAGTACTGATAATATTCAGCTTGATCACATATTATCTAACTTTTGATAAGTGTAATTTAGTAAATTTGAAAAGATCTATTTCAACCCCAGACGGATAAGAGATTCTCCCTCAGTAATCTCACCTGCTCACTGAAGTGAGCTGCTGGAATGTTGCTTATTATCTGCATGCCTTGATTTAGTACCTCTGTCCTCGTATTTGTTTTTTACACTGCTATACTTGAAGAAAAGTAAATTTTATGCGTCTCAGACCGGTTAGCAAATGTGTTGATCAACAGTGTATGAGTGGTGTGGAATTTGACGTTGGTTTTAACTGTATTTCATTTTTATCACACTTCAACTTAATGTGTAAGAAAAGCCAAACATGACGCAGGTCGAAAACATATCCTGTATGATAATGTCTGGGGTGACAGTTGCAGTCTTGCTTTCTTTGTTTTGAGCAGGAGCATTTCTAATATACCGGTAGCGATCAGGTTCTGCTAAATGACAGTGGGTAGGACTGCCAGCGATTGAAATAATTTCATTTTCATTTTCCTCACAGTAAAGATCTCTACTATTTAAGCATCATTCAAATGTACTTGTAGTAAAACTACTGTGGAAGCATCAGTGGGTACATTGAAACCATAACCTTGAGTATGATGTGTACCAGTATTCACAAAATACGAAAAACTATAAATACTGACAGAGTTTAATAATCATTTTGATAAGGCACGTTTCATTTAGGCACCATCATCAGCACTCAACTTTGGACATTGGAGACAAAAAGGTTAAGGTACTATGTCTAAAATTAGTCAGTTCAACCCATATGGATCAGATGATGTTCTATACATACAATAAAGCACACAAAAAATCTTTGATAATCTACAGAGAAGGAAAGTAAAAAAGATAAATGTAAACCAATTATTCTTGTGATGTACATGATGTAGATTAGTATATTTGTTTTAGTGATATTGTTTTTGTTTAGGTTGCCTTCATTTACTGAAGCATGTCTTGCCAAAGTGGTGGTATGGATATCAACCAGCAACATCAACTTGAACATTTTGGTATGTGCTGATTTATTCTTCTCATGCTTCAATCATAAAAGCTTATTCACAATGTCTTAGTTATATGACATATCACAAGACTTTTGCAAGAAAAGGCAAATAAATCGCTCTTTCATGTGTTTTCTTGAATTCTTACAGGTTTTTCTTCAAAGCTGAATGTTTACGTTGTGAATGAGGATGAGGAAGAAGATGAGACAGAAGTTAAGGACTACGGGCCTATCCTAGAATGCTTCAGAGATGTTAAGGAGCTGAATCAGTTGTTGCCCCAAAACATCGAAGTTGTTTCTGTGACCCAAGAGCAGATAGCATGGAGGGTGTCTTCACAAAAAACCTTAACCAAATGGTTTGAGACAATCAGGAAACTATCGAACCTACTCACAGAATTTGCAGTGAACACAGGACTTGTGAAAAGGCTCAATCTTCAAACTGGATATCGTCTTGACTTTGACATAGTTTCTCCTGATGCAAGGGAATTAAAAATAAAGGCAAAGAAACATTTTCAAGAAGTTAGGTATGCTGCTGATCATGTATTATTGCTGGGGCCTAAACCTTTTAGCATAGACATACTTGTAAGTGATGTAATGAGCTACTCTATTTTATGAGATGTGTATGGGATCCATGTTTTGATTCAGATGAGGACAGTTTGTCTCATTCATGGAAGATTGCTGTATGATATGTAATGTCTCAGTGCAGATTCTTTTATTGTGTCACTAAAGCCCCCAAGGTCGATGAAACACATTTAATAAGCAGTGAAAATAATAGAAGTCCTGCAATGTTATATAATTTTCAGTTACTATCTGTGTCGATTTGATTGGACATCTCATACTCTTCTAACGGGTAAACTTCTGTTTGACTGCTTAGCCTGTATAACCATAAGTATCCCCTAGAAACACTGCAATACCTTTGTATATAGTGGCCTAGTGACATCACTGTGGACTGGACGTAAAATCTGAATGATGTCACTATCTAAATGAGGTCATATAACTATGAACATCTTAAGGATAACCTGCCAGAGATCTACATCATGCATCATGTATTTCAACATTTGAAAAGAACAGGAATACAATAAAAGGGTTAAGAGGTTTTAAAACATTCATGATAGCTGAGTGTGGTGTTAAACAGCAAACAAACAAATAATACAGTTATGATTCGTTTCTACAGTTATATTATGGTGATCAAAATGCACATGTTTTATTCAGAAGGAAATTGTTTTATGGAAACACTTTAAACAATTACATTGTACTGGTAAATGTATCGGATCACATTATTGAATGTCATTTTGTTGGATCATCTGCCGTATGTTGGATTAACATTACCTAGTGAATCCAACAGCAAATTGGATCTGGAACTTTGCATGTCTGTGTTCCATACAATAATGACATAAATTTGTCCATAATCAATCTTTAACTCAGTTGAACTGAAGGTTCAAGTAAGATTCTGTTGTTGTCTGTCATTTGTCCTTCCGACTGCCCTTCTCTCTGTTGGTAACTATCCCCTATTAAGCACATATAGCACGTTTATCAGGCATATAGCATAACATGCACTTGACATTTTGATTCAAACCAAAATAATACATCATCATGTTCTTGATTATCATGTTAAATTACCTTTATAAAAAAAAAATAAATATGGAAATATTAAAATAAACAAAACTTCAGACAAACCACAGAGCCTCATGGTTCTATTGTTTTTGTGGCATTGCACGTTTTGTGTCGTCTGTCAGTCTGTAAACATTAGACTTCTCCTCTGATCCGACTGAAGTTTGAGAGGGTGTAAAGAGATCTTGATGTGTTCATGGTTTTCTTCAAAGAATGATAAAAAATTTTTTTGAAAAATCTTTAAGATTCTTTTTCTGAGACACAACCACACCTTTGGATCTGAAACATGTATGTGATATGTAGCAGCAGAATGGGATTCAATTTTCTTCATGCCAATAAGATTAATTTCTTGAAAACAGAATGCCCAGATATATAACATTTGATGAAGATGTTAAGGTCCATGATGTCTTTATGGTCTGTTATGTTTTGAAAACAGAAAAATATATTGTTTAAAATGATGAAGCATAAACTTTTACTCTGACAGAATGCAAACAGTTAAGAGACATGATATTGTGGTGATAATAACAAGGATGTATGATATCATATTTCAGTGTCAGACATCAAATTAGACATGAATGGTCAATGATTAATGTGAACCTGTTAAAACCCTTCTGCTTATTTTGGTGTCTTGATGCTTCAGTCTATTTATGTTTCATTTTATGATTACAACATGGCTATGCCACAGATCATCTCTTGCAAAAGGACCCAATGGAGAGCCATCTTTGAATCTTGCACTGTCAAAGCCCTTAACAACTGTAACTAAGACACCAGGAACTCCTGCACATAGTGAGGTACTAGTATACTGAATCCTGCTGCACAGGTTGCAGAGTTGACTAAGACGTTAGTGTTAGCCTCTTTGCTGGTCAGATCAGCTGATTTACTGTGTGCCAAGGAAGCCTAAACCTATGTTGAATGAATCGAAAGCAATATCGTTGACTTAAGAACACAAATTATCCTGCCTTAAACACAATGGTGAAAGTGATTATGGGCCTTTATTTATTATAGGCAGAGACAATAAGTTAAAGGGGTTCTATTTAATTTATGGTATAGTGTCTATTTCAATCCTAGGTCTAAATGTTGTAATAAGTAGCATCAAAATTGGTCACTGCGAAGACAAAGTTTCCAACTGTTTACATCATTCTCTTCGCCTTTAGGTAACAGCCATAGTCCCCAATCAAGAATCCTCTTCTTCAATACCGGACCCAGAACTTTCTGACGTTTCGGGAGCTCATTCTGGTGGACCTGACAAGTATGTACTTGCTGTAAGTGTTACATTTAGCCATGATAATTTCAGGGAAATCATTGTGTCAGACAAAGTGATGATCTTCTAAAAGAAGTTTCCACAACTACTAAATATTTTGAGATAAAATAACCTATGTCACATAAACAGAACTAGAATGCCTTATATGGTGATACGAGGCATGAGTGGCCCAGTCGACTAAGGCGCTGCAATTCAAAGTGCAGAATTGCATCCCTTGGGAATGCCAGAAACTTATGATTGTGGGTTATTGAAGCAAATTGATATTCATTTTGTATATGTTCAGACCAACACACAGCTTTGCCATGATGACTCATTACCAACTACAACCCAAGCAAAGGTGGATATGAAAGCATTAAAGCCTGGTAACATCTGCAAAGAAACAGAAGCAAAGTTGGTAAGTTTTAGCTTGTTGTTCATGGTGATAAGAAGAACATATGATCGACGAGGAGGAACTTAAGATAAGAAGGGTGTGGATTTACCTTCAACCTGTGTAAGATTGTAACAGACCAATAGCAAGAAAGCTAGCGTGATAGAGTTATATATTACAGTGAGACTGTTGCAAGTGAGCAGGTGTGGGAGTTTTGTTTAATGCCACATCTGAACAGTATTTTAATTACCGGTATATCATAACAATTCAGGGGAGAAATAGTAGATGTGGTTAAACAATATCATTTAATTGTTTATTTCCTAAAAGATTTACAATTACATAATATTTTTCAAATGCCTACAAAAATTATTCTTAATGTTCTTTTATTACATAATACTGTATATATTGTATCAAAACTAATAATAATAATAATAATAAAATAAATGTTATGTATTGAATACCATACTTAAACACGAAGGTTCACCCAGAAATCTTTGATTGCAGAATTTGGGAAATCAGTAAATAACCACACAAGATCAATAATCGATTTCCAGAAATTGATGAATTTAACAAACTCCACACATCGAAGCAATGAATGAATGAAGTTGTCAATCGCTGATACGTAGTTTTCCAGAAATTGATGAATTTAACCAACTCCATACATCAAAACTCCCTATTATCAGGGAGGGTAATGAAGTTGTCAATCGCTGCAATGGAGTTTGAATTATAAGGTCAAGGCCATTGTTAAATATATATTGTAGGAGTACCTCAATCAAATTGCTGCCACTTAAATCAACATTTTGGGTTATAACAAAACTACTGCCACATAGATCCGGGGTAGAATAGGTCTTCAGCAACCCATGCTTGCGTAAAAAGCGACTATGCTTGTCGTAAGAGGCGACTAACGGGATCAGGTGGTCAAGCTCGCTGACTTGTTATCCCCCTGGCATATAATGCGGGGGAATATAGCGATCAGCCAGTCTGTCTGTCCGTCCGTCCGTCCGTCCGTCCGTCTGTCTGTCTGTCTGTCTGTAATCATTTCCTTTTCCGGGGCAGAATTCGAAAACCATTCAGTGTATTTGATCGAAACTTGGCAAATCTATCAGGCACATACTGAAGTGGTGCTTTTTGATATTTTGGGATTTTACTAATTTTTAATTTTTTTAATTTTTATGGAATGAAGTTGGACATAGACTCAATTGGGGATGGGGTTCGTTTCCGGGTCAGAATCCGAAAACCATTCAGTGTATTTGATCGAAACTTGGCAAAGCTATCAGGCACATACTGAAGTGGTGCCTTTTGATATTTTGGGATTTTTCTATTTTTTATTTTTTTAAATTTTTATGGAATGAAGTTGGACATAGACTCAATTGGGGATGGGGTTCGTTTCCGGGTCAGAATTCGAAAACCATTCAGTGTATTTGATCGAAACTTGGCAAGGCTATCAGGCACATACTGAAGTGGTGCCTTTTGATATTTTGGGATTTTTCTATTTTTTATTTTTTAAAATTTTTACTGAAGTGGTGCCTTTTTTTACGAATTTTTATTTTTTACAATTTTTATGGAAAGAAGTTGGACCTAGACTCCATTGGTGAACGGGTTCATTTCCGGGCCAGAATTCGAAAACCATTCAGTGGGTAAACAATGTATGCTTCTTAAAGAACATTCAACAGTTGACTCATTAAATACAGAATTGCACATTTACTAGTGGTTACTTTACAGACAGCTGCCGGGGGGATATGTCATCTTTCTGATGACTCTTGTTTGAATCATCTCATTGTATCCCAATTGGGTGGATCGATGCTCATGATGTCAATCACTGTCCCAGGATTGATTATTTACAGACTGCTGTTATAAAACTGGAATATTGCTGAGTATGGCGTTAATCAACAAATGAACAAACAAACAAATAATATTATACTAGTCCATTTCTAAATCTTTAAACTTCAACATCACTGCAGTAGAAACTAACATTTTTAGTCCACTAGTCCTTATAATGATAACGTATAGCAAAACCCTTAAAAATGGCAAAATTCTACTTGTCCTTATGATAACTTAACTATTGGGCACTTTGGCAAGGACAACAGGACTAGTGCGGATTTCTAACGCTGCATAGTTTATATATAATGATTAAAAATTAATCCCTTTAGCTATGATAATAACATTTGGGCAAAGCAGAAACTACCTATGAGGAAGAGTCCTGTGTCTAGCTCTCCAGGTGAATGGCAGAACCCCAGGAAGCAGACAAAAACATTGACTGCGATGGATACCGTAACCTTGGTTACTCTGTCGGATATTTTGCTCATTGAGACTCAAGCTTCACAGCCTCAAGTACCCCAGATAACAGGAATTATGTCTCAGTCAAGACAAAGCTAGACCACATGGAACAAGAAAGGTGCACATTGCTGAGGAATGCAAGGGAATACTGAAGCAAATAAGACATCAGCAGTCATTGCAGATGGAATTCATAGACTGGTATTTCTTCTGATCGACGGCATTATGTCAGCGGTATTCTCGGGTCAACTTGTAAATCCAACGACAATGCAGTCTTCGAGCTTCAATTCTCCAGACTATCCAGTGCTAGACAGACAAGTAACCTTAACCCCCAGTAACTGTTATCTAGAATAGTTTCGTTTGCTGTAATATCTCATCTAAATGGGAAGCATCAACAAATACACACAATAACATTTTTTCATACAAACAGCATGCTCACTCCTTTTTATCACCTCATATCAGCTAAATATGGGTTCACAGTTTGTCAAAAGTGTCTTCTCTTCAATATTTGTAGGTCACAGGTTAGACAGCGTCCTTGTATTACTACTTTGAACTTAATAGAAGGTTTGATGCACATTTATTGTGACAGTTCTGTTTATCTCCGAATATTCAAAGAAGATTTTCTTTTTCAACCTAGTATTTTTAACAGTTGTTCATACATGGATGTACCGCCTCTGTGGTCTACTGGTAGAGCATCTGCCTGGAGAGCAGAAGGTCGAGGGTCTGAAGCCAGGCTGCGTGATACCAAAAGACGTCAGAAGACTTGTTGATACCCTGCCTGGCGCTGCATCCACTATATAAGAGCAATAATCTTGAACGGAACGTTAAAACCCAATAATGCGTATAAATGCAATGAACACCGCTATATAAATGCAATAATCTTAAAGGCAATGTTGAACCCCAATTTTATCTCACCACCTCATTCTTGTAACATATAACACTACCATGTATATATACATATATATATATACATGTATTGTATATATTATATGTGAATGCTGCACATAAGTATTTCTGTTTTTCTCAACCACATGCGAATAACAGATGCCAAAGACTTCATGCCTGATATACTTCCTATATAGCCCAATCACGTATGACAGGATCTCAGTTGTTAACACAATGTCTGTCATCTGTCAAGGTCACTTGGAAGGTCCTCACATGAAATAACTTCAGGAATTGTTGTGTTACTTCCTGAAAATATCGATGTTTTTTTTGCAATATGTTAAGGTGAAGTGTTATGTTACTAACTTAACAACTATAATATGTTATAATTGTGTCAAATGTCAAGGTCGCTTCGAAGGTCATTCCCACATGAAATAACTAGGTTCATTTAGGAAGCATATTAAGTAAGTTATGGTATTTTTGACACACCCCTAGTTTGCGAAAAGTATTTTTTTGCATGTGATTGTAGGGTTTGGAAGAATCGGTCAATTGGTGTGAAGTATTTTCGTCCCAAAATGCTCAAGCATTTATGATTGGAATTTAACGATCTCTTGCTAGTTGTGACAGAGAGTTAAAGGCAAGGTTATTACACAAGAAGTACTTATAACTTTGTTATTTATGGTAGCTAAATACATTGGACTTTCTGTTTCAAAGTTGTACTGCATTGGCTGTGTGTTTTCCTTAGTTGATGTTATTAAACCAGTAGTGCTCAGAACTTTGTTATTAAAGAAGCTTCGAGGAGTTTTCTGTTTAAAAGTTGTGAAAGCATGTGTGAATGAACTGTCACTTGATGTTTTGTAAAGTCAAAATGGTTTGTAATACGTTTCTTATAAATTATGCCACCTTTCTAGTTTATATATTTTAGATTTTTCTTATTTTATTGTATAGAAATATCAGAGTATTCTGATTATTTGATGTGGCACCAACAGCCTCTGTCAGTGTATGTACATGTTAAGGTTAATCATATATACTTAAAAACAGAACCGCAAAAGTAGAAAATATCGTAAATATCTGACAGAGTGTTGCCGACATCCGTACCAAAAATATATACCAAAAATGAAACGGATTGGGATTTATTTGTGTGGAAAGAATGATGTACTGCAGAAATTTAGTGTAAACACGTGCAATTACTTGTTGGGCTATATAAACGTTGGGTTTTCATTTGCATGCCATCACACTCTTAAAGCAAGTGAACAGCGAACGAGTGACTGAAGCCCAACATATATATTGAAGTAGGTAGATCTGATAGCAACATGAAGGATTAGCCACTCTTTAGTCATGGGTGAATTGTTCTGTATCTTTGATACTCTATTCCTTTTTCTACCATTTCAGCCTTACTCCACTGAAACAGATAGTCATAAAATGACCACCCCACCCCTGCCTGATGTAGCTGACAGTTCTTCGGTTGATTTTGATGTTTGTGGTGGACAAACAACTATTTCTGGAAGGGAGCAATCAAAGGTATATTGAATCAAATCTATTGTATACCATAATGATTAAAATAATGAAAATATATCAATCCCTGGCATTTCATGAAATAGAATGAAAAGGTTATAAAAGTTAACAAATATTGTCATGCTTTAGTGTATTTTAAACAAAAGAGGTAATGCTTTCAACATCCTTAGAATCGCTCAGGTGCCAGTCAAAATGGGCCAGCTGATTTGGTCATAAGGGCCCATTCTCTGGCCAAAATGGACCATTGCACTCTCAAATTGAAAGCCAAAATCATATCTTTAGTCATGCTTTCAAAGATTGTATGAAATGGATACAAAATATAAGCCTGGTGCTTACTGAATTATATGTCTGAACAATTGTATCTTATGTAAACATCGCAACAATAAAGGATTTCGAGTTCAGATGCATCTATCAAACAAACATCAATGACATTGGGCTCATATATTGATAGTGCAAAAAATATATGATTAATTTAACAACAAATGTGAAAACAGTTTTGATAACAGACTTGGAGAACAAGTAGCCGATGGTGGATGACAGGGCTAATAATGTTATTGTGCGACTCCAATCGCTCTCTACTTGATCAAATGCATCCATACACTTGTCTAGGTTTACCTATGCATATATTTACATACATTTACATTTATATAAATCAAAGGTAACATTTTCCTTTCATCATTTCGTAGAGATAAATAACATGTCTCTTGAATACATTAGTCTTTTCCTTGAAATTGATTTTGCCAGACGGGCAAGTTATGATGTTTAAGGTCATCTATCAGACGGAAGAATTTGAATTTTCTTTGCAACATTGTGTCCGTTCACAATAAAGATGTTGTCATCTCATTTTTATGAGTATCTTTAAATATATTATACAAGGTAATAAAATCAACAAAAATATATCTGAAAGTTGCCAAACTGACATCTAAGTTATTATTTCTATCTTTTCGTGTGATCACGTGTAATGTAAGTCAAATAACATCTTGGCTTTCGTTGCCTTGATTTCTCTGCTCGGATACGATATCTTTAATGCCAAAATATTTGCAATAGAAATCTTTGTCCCAGCTCGTAACCAAGCACTATACATCCATGGAGTTCCATATTTTTAACATAGATTGCGATCTCATGTTTAAAAAAACGTTCAGAATAACATGATTTAACCCAAACCTTTCATCAAAATCTGAAAATTATCATACACGGGGTACCATTGCTGTAATTTGATTGGTTGCCTCGGGTCAATGCTTAAACTTGACCAATCACAAACCTTGTAGCAGATTATGTCCGTGAAACAATATAAGTTTTTTTAATAGATACTGACATGTCAGCCTTCGATGTATGTGTTATTCATATGAAGCTTCGAAAACGGAGGTATTTCCTCATGTTAGTGAGCGGACAGCCACTATCAATGGGAAATGGTTGATGACAGATACTATGAAAATAAAAAAGAAATAGGAATGTGGATTTTATGAAATCTTATATTTGCCGAAAATCGTCAAATTTTCGTTTCATTGGTCCTTAGTCTGGACTTTATGAATGTTTTAGCTTACATGATTTTAATTTAAAACAAACTTAATTAAGTTGTAAATGAATTATTTAGATAATGTGATACACATAACTTTCATATTTTATAAACAATAGGATTAATTAGTCATTTCAAATAGTGTATAGCCAAACATGTAGTAGCAAAGATGTTTTACAAGCAGATAATTTTCTTGATAAATGTTGGCTTCATCTATCACACAAGAGTCTCTGGGAACTTGGTGTCACAGCAGTAGTAACCTTCTGGTTGGCTGGTGTTGAAAGCGTTAATGCTGCCAAAATAGCGGCGTCTTTCATGCATTTCCACCAATGACATGAATATTGTTATATTGCCATTTGTGCACAAGCTGACTGCAAGGGATATAATAAAATGCTCTTGAAAAATTTAGTTGTTTTACATTTGTTACTCTGGAATTTTTTGTTTATACCTACCTAACTTTTTTTTTTACAAAATTCAAGAAAAAAATAATCTCTGAGGCTTTTTTTTTATATAAATTGGCCTACCTCACTTTTGAAATGAGTTTGAAATCCGTAAACCAAGAAATAAAAAAAGTGTCGCCTAAATGCAGAATGACTTTATCTTCAGTTTTAGCTCACCTGACTCAACGTCTAGTGAGCTTATGTCATGGCCTGTATGTCTGCCGTTCTTCATGCATTGTAAATATGTTCTCTTCAGAAACAACTGTACTAGTTAAGCTAAAACTTGTCCCCACCAATTTCCCCTAATTGTTCCCACCAATGATGACACCATAATATGTACAAGACGTTTGAAAACGGTAGACATTTTGGAAAGCCTCTCTATGGACATTACTCATTACTTTTGTGATCAAAATGTAATGGAATTTGTTCAGCCTATATGTTCCATTTCTCACGATATTGTCAATTTTGATCTTGATTTGACCTTTGCACTTCGACCACACTAAAAGCTGATCTTTTTGGGTATCTATTACTCAGCCATTTTCTTTTGGTGATCCTTTCCGTGATAGCTATTATTGTTACAAGTTCAAGGAATACTACCTCAATTTCAACAGTACCAGAAATCCTTTATTTCGGCAGTCATCACACTATAGAATCTTAGTCTAAAGTCCGCTTCACTGTCTTCAATCCATAACCATTTGATATACTCAAACTATCTCCCTTCCTAAATCTCTACACATAAGCAGGCAGGAAGTCTGCTTTTCTTTCTAACATCAGCAACCTAAACACAGAATTTTGGTGAAGTGGGTGGGATTAGTCCTAATGTAGAGGTAGTAGTAGTGAAATATTAACAATGATAACTATTGTTTGATAATTCTTACGAATACATAACTTCTGTTACATCAGTGCCAGAATAACACAGTGGGATGGGTGGGTTTTGACTTTCAATAATACCCATAGTGTTATGTGTCGATTCTCAAATTGAAACAACATTTTAACCTTGAAATATGTTCGTAAAAGAACTTGGTGTGAAACCAACAACCAACCAACAAATGTATTAAAAATGAACTAGGTTTACAAATCAATACAAATAATTACTGCAATTACAATGGCAGTACACATTTGAGTGGTAGTACAATATTCAATAGCAATGTATAATATGATGGCAATGGTCAGTATCAAATACAAAAATATAGTGGTGATAGCAAAAGTCAGTGAATAATGATATATATTCACCCAGCGGCAACAGCTGTCAAGCGGTATCCTGCAATGAGAGGAGGCATTCTGTGAAAGATATAGGAGGAAATCCGCCAGATCCCACATCAGCACCACTGGTAGAACTTGCTCCATCTGTCATACAGACGAGGATGGTCTCCATGATCAAGTATCTGCCACTGAAGCAGAATTGGGGAAGCCAGAAATCTTTTTGAGTGTGGGTGAAGGGAGTATAGGCTTCCATATATGATGTCTGATCTGGGTTGGAGAAGGAAATCATGGCATTCCGGGAGTCGGAGGTGTTCGTCAAGGAATAACGCAAACAGTCTTGAGGAACCTTGTCTTGGCCAAGCATACTGGCACTTTGAGAATGGTAGTGCAGTCGGTGTCGACAAACTTCAGAAGTACTCTTGAAGAGAACAAGGGGAAAAGCGTATGCGAAGAACCCCTGTACAATCCATGGACAACACATCCACTTGCAGAGCTTGGGGATCTGGCTCTAGACTGAAGTACCATGAGAGTACCGTATTGGAGAACTATCCACACCATCTTGACATTATGATCCTCTAGTGGACAATCTGGCGCCAGTGTAATTGATATACTTGTAATTGGATCAGGAAGATGGTGATCTGATGAATCTGGGTCTTCTCCTGATTGCCTGATGCCATCAATATATCCATGGACGCGCACTAGATGGATGTGAGCAAAACTGATGATCAGTGCTGTAACCTGGGTGAAAAGCCAAGGTACAATGGATATGCAAAACGGAAGGAATAGGAATTCGATCTGGCCGATGTTGACTGATACATTGAGATATGTCCTGGATCCAGGGTGAATTGGCACATACAGGTATGCATCCTAGAGGTCAAAGCTGATCATCCGATCCCCAGGCCTGATGGTAGAAGTGGCAGTTTTTCCTCACTCCCTGGTTTCCCAAGTGGCTTGCTGACTGGCATTATATTTCCTTAATTAACTCTGAGAATGTGTGACATGGACAGCAAGTGAATTGTAGGATCTGAATGCTGGCTCAGGAAGATCGTCCTGCAAACTGTGCATTGTTTTGGTCAATTGTGACACAAATCCGGAGGCTTCCCGCCCTGAGTCTCTGGGTGGACGAACAGTGGGTCTGGATTCCAGCTAAGCATGATATACGTAAGGGTAATCGTGGCACTTTCTGGTACTTTTTGCGGCTGTATTGTCGATGGTAATCACAGTTGGAGGTCCCATTGCAGCAGTGTGAAACGGCGACATGTGATGATCGTGCTTGAAGTCCTGTGCTCATGGTGGGTAGACTTTGAATTCATTGTGGATCCGACAGTTAGCAGTCGTCATCTTGTTGGACTGAGACCATCTGGCCATTCATCATATTCTGGGTGAGGTGGATCCAAGTTAACTACATCAGATACGAATAACCTGGCCTTGATACTTACTTCTCCCTTACATGGCCACCAGGAAGGTTCCCACTGCCTCGACTGTGCATAGTCTTCAAGTGCAAGTGAAGCACACTGCTTGCATTTTGACTCCTCTGTACAATAGAGCAAGAATTTCTTTTTTAATGGTGGAAAATCTACTATGATGTTTGTCCAATTTTTCTTGAATAATAACAAATAGGATGATCAAAGCCCGGTGTATCTTCTTCCAACAGGACAGCTCCAGCACCAATGTCACTAGCATCAACTGCCAATCTGAAAGTCTTGTCAAAATTTGGTGGTTGGGAAACAGGAGATTTCATGAAAATAGTTTTAATTTTATCAAAAGCAGCCTAACAATTGCTGTCCCAAACACATTCACCCTTTTGCCCAGCAAGTTAGAGATAGGGATTACCACATGTGTGATCG